TTTGAATTCTGTAAATCTGCGTCCTAAAATCTGCTGTCTCTCTTTCTCTGAATGTCCTTCTTTCCTCTTATCTCAATTTCCTCCTGACCCTTTCTGGCTCACCATGCCCTCCAACCCTCATGATTCACTCCCATCCTCCCTTACACAGCAAGGGTCTTCTTACCAGGGTCGCCAACCTTTCACCTTGTGTTTTTCTCCCCCCAGACTGTGTAGCAGCTTTGGCAGGCCCATTATCCTCCCACTCATCTCTGATCTCCCTCTGCTGATGCTCTGTCCTCTGGTTTCTGTGCACACACCTGATCCCAGCACAGGCCCACAGGTGCATCGAGGAACTCTAAGAGTAAAGGTCATTACACCGGCGAATCAGCAAAGCAATGCGAATAAGCGACGCGAAAATGCAAAATAGTTGGCTTACGCCTTCTCCTACACACACCTGTTGCAACGCGAATCAAATTTGCATATTTGCATAAAAATACAACACAACTGTAAACAAAGCCGTTCTCTACCTCCCCCAACCTGATTGATTGTGAGACAGACACTGCTCCCCCCGGTCATTCACAAGCCCAAACAAAGTTAGCGTGCTACAATATTGGACAGTAGAAACCAACCAGAAAGTATGGTAAATTGTCTGAATCCTCCTTTGGCCACGACTGTCAACACAAGCAAGAAAACGAAATAAATACCGGAGACTCTGGCGAAATAACGGGCGCTTATAAAGGAGGTAGACCGGACAAGTGCTAAGAAGCCGGGTCAACATCAGTATAAGCGATGGGGGACACTTTGAGATCTTCCGAACCCTGTAACCTTTCTACTTGACACGTAAACTGCTATAACAAAGTAAGCCAAGTGTCTGTAACAGAAGTGTTTCTTGTCAAACGGGACCTGCTGCATGTTGTAGCGCTGCTAAACTGTTTACCTCGGGTACTGGAGTATGTGACTTTATCCTGGTTGTATAAGTCCTGCAAACATTGTGTTTGCTGGTAGTCTGTTGGCATCTACAGTTGCACCAATGCTTTTTACTTCCACGTTGACTGGGCCCCATTTGTAATTATCTGAAGTATTTATCTGCAATATATCTGAATTTAATTGGAACGATACGAACGGAGGAGGAGCTGAGGGGAAAACTCGTTGGAAGGGGTAGTGTTACATTCAAGATTTCCCCAAAAAACTGGTACTTCCTCAGATCCTGCCTACCCCACCTTTAATTATTCGCTTCGCAAATCCACTTGCTAATTCGTTGGTGTGTAACGACCATAACTTTATATCTTTACTTTATTTCTACAGTGCTGTATCACCCTATCCCCTGTCTGATGTGGAATTAGCCCAGTTTCAGTCATCAGACTATCATTTCTTTTTTTAAGTCTTCAGACAAAAATATCTACAAGTTTTAGTCATATTTGAGTAGTTTCTGCTCTTTACAGACTTTCCCCTTTATTAGCATCATTGTATGGGACTATGTCAATATTAGAAGCTTTGTTGCAGCACACAAAAAGTGTTACTCATATTAAGATTTAGGAAACAATAAAAGGAAAACGAAGAGGACATGGCATCCAAAAGACTTTAAATGTGATGTGTATTGATAATCTACATGCATGTGTGCAAATGAGCCCGTGAGCCATGAAAACGCAAATTGTGAGCATGTCAGCAAATGTCTGCTTCATTAACATTCGGTACATCACTGGGTACAACAGTTGGGTCAATATGGCGGGTGACTGATCTGATGCCCCCCCACACACATACACACACTCTCACACACACTCACTATGCACAGGCAGAGCTCTCAGTGAATACCAGGTCTTTGATGTTCCTGGACAGCTTTATTCTCTTCCCTCCATCCCTCCGTCTGAAGAGGCGAGAGCAGAAATGGAGGGTCCTGACAGCTCCCGTTAATTGAACTGTTCGCTCCGTTACCGAGCCAGAAAAAGTCGACATACAAGCTGTGTGTGAGAGAGGGAGAAGCAGACACCCACTGAGACACCGAGAGGTTAAGGCAAACACACAGGGGTACAGATATGGAGGGATACTCTCTTGCTCGCTGTTATATCTCAATCCTGCTCAGGTGTTTCTCCTCCACTTCCACTCTCTCTTTTTTCTCCCTCTCCTCCCTCTCTTTCTCCTTGACCTCTAACTTGGTTGATCCTCTTCCCAATGGTTCTCCCACTCCACCCCCTCTCTCCCAATCTCTCCATCTTCCTCACATCTCTTCTTTGATGTGGTGATGCAGGGTTATCTGGGGCTCTCATCCGAGGGGGGAAGGCAGGGGGTGAGCCAGGTTGAGAGAGGTGAAAAAGGAGAGGTATGAAGAGGAGAGGAGGAGGGAGCAGGCAGCAGCAGGGGAGGGAGATGATGAGGATTTTTCCCCTCTTCTCTGTGACACTTACATCTCTTTCAACTCCCCTCCACTTTCACCTGTGAATGAAAGACATGGCTGGATTTAAAAAGATCCCACTGTCCACTCCGGATGATTTTCATCCAGAGTTTAATTCCTCTCTGAAAATCCTATTTCTGTGGCTTAACCCAGAGGCAAAGTGTGTCAGGAAACCAGCATGACCTCAGTCGACATGCTGCACTGGAGATGTCTCATTCTCTGTGTATATATAGATGTTTTTTTTTTTTTTTCCTGGATGAAGGCCTCTGCCAGTCTTCTTCACAATCTCAGGAAGTTTTCTCTGTAAATTACCATGTGATTTTGCCCTGACACTTCTTTTTGGCATTCTTGTTTCTCTTGGATGATTCAAGTTAGTTCAAGTCACTTAAACTCAGAGAGCAGTTTGAACTGAGAAATACTATTTTTATGTACATTTCTGTGTGTTTTAATTGTATCGCAACATCATTGTAAATGAAGGAAACTGCAGTGATTTCCAGTGCTTGAAAAAAGGTTTATAATAGTAAGAAAAATATATCATCGCTGTCCAATAAAAATCACATATCTCCAAAATGTGTTTTTTTTTTCAGGAACATTAAAAAACTATTTTGTTGATAAACTACTATACAGAATAAACCCAAACTACTTTAACCAGATATAATTAGGACCCAAAATAAAAATCCATATTTACATAGTCATCAGTGACCTTCAAATGGACTTAAGTGCTTTGCGTTGAGTCATAGTAGACATACAAGTTTTTTTTCAATAATGCACTCCAATGACGTTCAGTTATTTATGAGCTTAGAGTGTCATGTTTATGTCCCACTATGTTGTTAAACTATTGATAGTGGGCTATCCTACATTTCCACATAGCTCAATGGTTGTCAACCTTTTTGAGTCGCACCTCCCAATTTAAAATGCTCTAGTGTCTGCGACTGATGCAGGTGAAGCAGGTATACTGAAAAAAAAACAACAGAAAAATGTACTATGAGTTCATATGCTACTAAATTAATTGGTTTTCAATAAAACTCTGGCTCTGATTTTACTTAAATACCAGTGGGAAATTAAAAAAATAGCAGAAACACAACTAAGTGATGCGATAGTCAAGTGCGTGGTCATGTCAGCAAACAGACTTTACACCGTGACAGACTCATTACAGTCCAGGGTAATGCTACACTCATGTCCTCACATCAACTGGTACTGACCTCGATCTCTTTTCTAACCATGACGGTGTTGCTTACCTGTACGTTAGATTTCTTGGGCCAAAGTTCATCCCCAGAAAAAAAGCTGCTGCTGTTTTCTCTCTCGCACTTCAGCTTTTCACCTAGGCATGTGGAAGGGCAGGGAGCTCCTAGACTAGTCATACTGCCTGATATCACTCACTGCATGCAAATTTATAATCCTCTTTGACTAAAGTGGTCCTGACTGAAGTCATGTTTTAAGCATAGAAATTTGTTTTTGATTAAATGGACCCCAAGCTAAATTCTTCTCTGAACACTCAGAGTGACAGTGGTGTTTTTAGATTTTCTGTTTATTCATCATGGGAAACACGAATGAGTTCACAGAGAGAAGGGAAGAGGGTTTTTCACTGCCAGGTTTCTCCCCCGTAGAGGCTACCAGGTCACAACCGTGCCAGCCAGCCCAGCATGGAGGCTGCCAACTCTATTCAAGCACACACACTATACAAACAGCCGCCTACACAGCCACCACTGCAGCCACCAAAAATGCACATGCATGCACTTAACCTCCTCACACACTCACACTTTCTTTGTTTTGAACGTCTGAGAGTATTTGCTAATTAAGAATCACTTAGCGGTGTGCAGAGCATCAGGGCCGTGCTCAGGACTAAAAGCTGACCAGTTCATGAATCGATCAAAGGCTCACCAGCAGCTGATCAATACCAATTCATCTTCTCACATGTAATGAGAATAATGTGATTAACACGTAGCTGCTGTGGAGAAAGTGAGCAGTCTACAATTAGAAAGCATTCATTGATTATACACAGGAAGAGATTCACTCTGCAGAATTTGGAAGTTGCTGATCTACCCCTGACTTGGTTATCTACATGTGTCTCAGTTATTCAAACTGTAGCGCAGGTTTAGAAACATCAAAGTGACCTTTTAATGCTGACAGAGGTCCAGCTAAATATAAATAATTGCCCTTAAATCTGACCAATATATTGGAAAGATAAATGTTTTTTTTTTCCCTCAGCTGACACTGGAGCCACTTTCAAAGTTTGGTCTCACACACCTGCAGAGCAGCACTCGGGTCACTTTAGGGTCACCAGACCTAAACAACATCTTCGTCAGCTGTCCACTGAGAGGGTGATTTCATAGAGAGAAAGTAACTGCATGACACAAAAAGCCATGTACAGTCATCAGACACACACAGAGACTGTGTATGGTCGTAGACGAGTGGACTTTTTATTTGCTGCCCTTTCAGAGCCCATGACGAACAAATGAACCTGCACGTTTTCACCGTGTTTCTCTCCCTCTAAGGATATTTGATCCACATGCAAACCCTCAAAGCCTCCTCTTTCTGTGCTCCGACAGGAGGTGCACTATTTGCACAGCCGTGAATCTGCTTTAGTGCACTCGAGTGTGTGCATGAGGTGTGCAGAGTGCGTGCTTCATGCCTACTCGCCTGAGCTCAGGTGCGCAGGTTCTTCCTGTGGTCTGTCAGCAGGGGGGTCACATGTCCCCTGCAGGATGCGTTGATTAGTTTTGCCCAGGCTGAGCCAGAGACCTGCCAGGCGCTCAGTGGACTGCACTGATGTGACGCAGGGGTGAACCTGTGTTAGCTGAACATGGAAGCCTGCAGATACACAGCACATGCACTCAGGAAGAGGGGCTGCGCTCCGAGCACAGAGGCAGACTTCGGTTCTGTGGAGCCAGTTTAGCCAAATGTTCCAGCGGAGTAAACCTGCTGCACAAAAACTGCTGAGATAAATTCAGAAACTGCAAAGATTTTCCTCTAACTCAACTCTCTTTAAGAAAAACAGTCATTACCCAAGAAAAGGGTTACAAGTCTAGAAAAGACAATACTGTCATTTTCTTTTGTTGTTATAGCAGCTAAAAATATTTCTCATGAATCCACTCTACATAGCATGAGGGAAGTATTTTCTGTATAGTTGAATATTTAACTCAACGTTTCTTTGGTACGCTTTTCTAAGCTCTGTTATGATTCTTCTAATATCTGTGTTCAGTACTTTGAATTGCCTAGCTTCGAATTAAACTTTCTTAAACTTGCCTTGCCTCCTATTAAGCCACTTGGGGGCAGTGTAACAGGCTAACACAACTCCTGACATACTTTTAGAAAACATGGATAGAGTAACAGCTACTTGAGTGAAGCCAGAACTTTTAGAGCTCCCCCTACTGGTTGGCTGCAGTAAAGGTCATAACCCGCCTCCCCTATTAGATCGAACATGAGAAGAAATATTTATGAAAATAAACATGAAATGAATTTGTCTCAAACATTATTTCTGTAATTATTGTTAGTTGTTATCATGCTTACATGTGTGCTAATTTCATAAACTCCAGTTCTTATCAGCTATTTAATATGAAATTATGATTGACAGCTCAGTTGATCACTGAGGTTTCTAAGGCAATGTCTGCTGGATTGTGGCCCTGAAGGTCAACTTTTGAACATTTTAAAACATTTTAAAAATCGTAAAATTCAAAAATCTATCACAAAACACAACATCATTAACAAAATGCCGAAATATATATTAAAACAAATATATTTAGTGAGATCAAAATGAATTTCATCAGACACAAATGTTACTGGAAATGAGAAAAAAAAATTAAAATGCATTTTGTGAAATGTTTTTGCATTTGTTGAAATTTCATTGCATGCCAAGAACTGTTTTTGCCTCAGGTAAAATATTTTTGGTGATCAGAGGTAAAACTTTGTCCTGAGAGATATTATACGTTCTTGTGCAGATGACATTATGGGCCGCCATAGCAAACAGATAAGAGTGACCTATGAGACCAATTTACTCTAAACATGTTGAGGGTGTATGATGATATCGTAAACAGTGGAGAAGGTTTTCAGAAACTTACTACAATTTTAATTTAGCATAATTTTTACAACCATCAGTTTTACAAACCCAAGAAACTGCAGCAGAACTCGTTTTATGTGAGTGTGCCGCAACTGAGGGAGAGAGGTTGACTGGAGAGAGTTGGACCGAATGAGATGAAGAGAACAGATTGAAGACAGAAAAAGGGAGGGATAGAAGAGAAGGAGGGAGGAAGAGAATTAAAGGATGCATGGATGGATGAATGGATGGAGAAGAGTGAGCGAGCCATGGAGGGATCTTGCAGGACCTGTGATGGATGAGCTTTAGTTCAGGTGTGACGGCGCGACCAAATTAAATCACTGAGCAGACAGCAATGAACGAGAGACAAGGTTATCACTTTCTCTCCCTCCCTCTCTCTGTCTACCTCCCTCAGTCTGAGTGTCGGCCGTCTGTCCTCACTTTACCATCATCAGCTCTGAGCGTGCAGGAAGAATCAGCCTTCACCTCTGAGTAATGTTCGACACATTTCAATCACGCACGCTGGAGCCGTTTTATGGCATCACTTCATTTCACTCAATGACCTGATGGATCGGCCCGGCTGTCCGTGAGCGATAGCGAGAATACAGAAAGAGCGCATTTTCATGAGGTCTTGAGTTCATACATTAAAGTCATAAATACAGGATGGCGACAAAGAGGGTGGACTAAAGTAGGCCGGCCCCCTCTCTCCAAATGCACATGTGCAAAAAAAAAAAAAAACTTTATGTGATATTGATTTTGCATCAATATCATATATTGTTAGCGTGATATTTCATTGCACACATAACCTACAGGTGAAATGACACAAACAGGCAGCAGTGCTCCTACTGTGAAGAATATAATCTTTTGCTGAAACAGTGACATTGAGTTTTTTTCATTGAGACAAAGGCTACGACAGTAGTGCACTTTGTCTCTTGACTCCAAGTCCTCTGTTACTGCTGTAGGTATGAGGCTAAAGACACATCTCCTCATAACCTCAGACCTGCTGATAGAGCTCAGTGTAAGTTTGGTTGAAACCATCTGAAAATACTGTATGTAAAGATCTCAACAGGACACAGGTCAAAACATTCATTAAACCAGTAGCTCTATCTGGACTTTAGTCTACACACACTGTACTTCCATCATCGTCAGTCCATTTCTATGAATGTCCCTCTGTGCAATAAACATGTCCACCATCTGACATGATGTCCCTTTCCCTCCCTATATACAAACCTGTTGACAGAGGAGTCTCCTTTAATGGCATCTCTTCCCTAACCTTTGACCTTTGCTCTTTGACCAACCCCGTGGCCAGACATGATGATCTGCTGCAGTACTGTTGGTGTTGACATGGAGGTCTCCTTGTCTCTGTGTCACATGGACAAAGGTTGGTTTGTGTGGAGGACAATAGAGAATGGTGTAGATTGTGAGGGGTTGTGACTCAAAGCTTTAAAAAGATGAATGCTGCAGATAAAGAAGGAGGTGGAGGAGACAAACAAGGGCAGAAAAAGGAGGAGATAGAGATGTATTCTGTTGGAATTGGAGCAAGAAGCTGTTTGCAAATTTGTGTTTTCTAATCAAACCCTGCAGAGAGAAATGCCCCAAATCCTGCTTTAATTTTGGGATGTTTGGAAAGTTGGCGTACATCCTTCATGGATAACGTAACTTGTGTCTTTTACTCAGACAAAAAATACAACAAACAACAAGAATCCAGCGTTAAATCCAGGCTTAGACCACAGGGATCATGGCTCCCATCATTTGCAAGATCCCAATCTGTCTGGAAGTCTTGTGCAACCCTTCTGAAAAACAAGTCAGAGAAAAAATTGAAGGTGGAACATGATAAAATGTCTTTACAGCGTTTCAAAATCTAAACTTGTTCTTGAATCAGAATAAATCAAACTCTGATCAGAGAGGGTAAATTCCTCTGAAACATCACACATACAGATATGTATGTATACACACACACACACACACACACACACACACACACACACACACACACACACACAGCTGATCATCAGCCGTCTCATTATATTGTTGATTCTTGCTCTCCCTGCAGACAGTGATATTTACTCAGTGTCTCCATGAAGGGAGAGATGGGTAATGAGACTGATGTGTGCAGGGGTGCGTTCTGGGTAATTTGTTTGATACGAGACCTGATGGGAAGTGAAAGGATCAAAAGATTAAAAGAGCTTTTTTCTTCTCCCCCTCCCTTCACCTTCCTTTTTTTCCAGCCTTTCGCTTGATGTTAAAATACGCAGAGACAGAAGAGTCTCATTTTCTCTCTCTGTCGGGTTTTAATTCTTGATTGAATTTTTTCCCTCGGTTGTTCCTGGTGATGCACACTCACACACTTTCAGTCACATTGAAACATGAATATTACTTCCTCAGGGGCTGTTTTCTCACCCTCTAACCTGCTGCTCTCTCATTAGCTCATTGTGACCCTTGACCTCATCACCTGAGGCCCGAGGGGTCAGAGTGTCCTCAACAGGTGGGCTCAGGTCACTGAAAGGTGTGGCTTCCTGACTTCTCGACTGCTCTTTATGTCTTCAAACAGTTTGACATCATTTGTTACACCTGAAGGTTCTTTGAGGTTCATCAATGTAATCCTCCTTACCTGCGTGCTCTCTGTATTAGAGACTATAAACATACTATAAGAAATAAGAATTAGGGGGGGTTTGGCCTGACTAGAGGGCAGCATTGGGATTGATATCCCCTGGTCCTGGACCCAACACAATCAGCAACATGGCCAAAAACCCACCCTCTGGTTCATCAGAAATACAATGAGTGCAATCTGATCTCTGTGGTCAAATGATCCAAAAAACAAAACAAAACATGGATTGGAAAACTTCAGGGAATCCTCTGGTAATGTCCAGATTTTATCTTTGAGATCAAAAGTACACAGGGCTCCATTCTGAGACCCTTTGAGTTCAATCTATATTTCTAATGAGCCAAACCAAAGCAAATTTTGTGGTATCATTTCATCTTTGGGTCACACCAGCTGTGCACAAGTTCACAGAGGAATCAGAGGACGTTTATGATTGGTTGGTGCAATAAAATCAATTCACCTACACTTGGGTGTATATGTCTTAAAATCTCTTATTAGTTCAGTTCAGTCAGGACCACTTAAGTCAAAACGAATTATTTATTACCAGCAAACATTTTTACATTGGAGGTATGGCTCTGTTCTGGGAGTTCCCTGCCCTTCCATGCACTTGCATGGAAGGGCAGGGCTATAAGAGAGGGGAGAGCTCCTCACCTCCCTTTCATGTGCGTACATGAAAAGCCAAGGCAGAGAAGCAGCAGCGAATAAATATGTTTAAGATAAATACATTAAAATCCCCCCCACAGAACAGAGCAAGCATTAGTGACAAATATGACACTGGTAAAATCAGACACAACATAAACAGGAGGAGCTGCTGTGGAGGTGGGTTGTAGAGTGGTTGGAGAGGGCAGGGTAGGCAGGAGAAGCAGTTTAAATAAGGCGTCATTTTGACATTAGCCAACAGAATGTGTAGAGGGTGATCACCTGAGCTGTCAGCTGACTGAGGGCTGGCTTAAGGTCAGCTGACTGTAGCCTTTAGCTTGACTCAGTGTCCTGCCTGAACTACCGCTATGCTTCATTTTTTTTGCACTTTTTTGAACATATCAGCATGTTTGTTTGATTAAAACATTTACAAAGAAAAATTCACTCTCAAAAACATGATTAAAATGCAGCTTCAGTCCCAGTCCCTGATAAGTCATAAAGTTTCTGTGTATTTAAACCAGATCATAATGAAGACAC